TGAAAGTGGTTCATCAATGGCTGACCATTTTGTATCTATTCTGTGTTAGTAGCTTTTGTAATCGTCAATAGTTCTACATGAAATTAATTTAAAATTTGAAAAGACAGCAACTTGACTTGTCATATCTATATGTTATCACTGTCCAATGAATATGTTATTTAACTCAAATTTCAACTAAATATTTCATTTTTTTGTGGCGACTTCTTCGCTAGGGGAGATGTGACAAACTAATTGGTGTCGTTTGATACTGCATTGCCATTTCTAAGAATTAGTTAAAAAATTGTATTTTTTGAGTAACAATTTTTTCGTGGTGCTTTTAAAAGAATATAAAAATATCTCAATACTTTAAGAAACAAAGTTTAAAGCTCAAGAACCTCGTTATTTAAATGAACCATAAAATTTCTTACTTTGCTAAAATGTAAATATTATATAAATTCTGAAACTATTAAAATTACTACTACATCGATGTACATATAGATAGATATGATTGACGACAACTGTAAAACCGAGTTTGATTGTCAATCAAATTTTATATTTTACTTGATGTAAGTTCTGGAACTAATCATTACCGAAGTTCAACCATAATGTAAAAACCTGCATTATTTTGAATTTAATCTAGGGTGCCATCGAACATGAAATAAATTTGAGTGGACGCTGTTTGTAAAGCTTTGGGTGGCACTACTAAGATTTGGTATGATATTGCGCATTTTGTATGACGTCATGTGGCTGTCATGACCGCTAACTTTAAATTCTGGCTTGTTACATGATCGTATTATCACTATAAACCAACAATGAAAAATTTTGAACACGTTAACCCATAATTAAAAACTGAACCGAATCTCAACCTACGCTGTAACCTCACATATCACTGATAAATTGACATTTGACAGCGTTCGAAGTTATCAGAAGAGCGTTTCAAGCACCGGAGTTGCATACCATGTCTTCTTGTACCATGGTACTGCTGCCATAGGTTTGACGCAAATTTCTATAAACATAATTTCAATGACGTCACAAGCGTAGACATAATATGAATTCATGAATAGAAGTTGCACGTATTTAATTTTTCACATTGACAGCTGGTAGAACTGTCAGTTGACAGAATGCTGTGTGCCAGTTATGTATCTACCTGTGATAATGATAAAACTGGTCTCACAGCCAACTCTAATTCGTTTTATTTTCGATCGCACAAAAGAAAATATGTATTAATTCATTATTCTTTTTATTTCATTCAGTACACGGAAAATGTCGATATAAAGTTCTTCATTTGTAGGTTTTTCCTTCATCACTGGCTGGACATTCAAAATGTAGCAAGTGTAGATGCTGCACAATAAGTAACAATAAATATAAAAAGCAACATAATCAACAGTATGTAACGTACATTGCCAGCTTCAGAAGAAGCTCCGGTCCCGGTCATTCTTACATAGACAACAGGTCTTTCAGAAAAACGAATTATTTGCCAAGATTTGTTTTCCTCATTTCGGTGGTCAGCTATCATGATCCATTCAGACTTATTGATTGAAATTTCCACATAATATTTATAGAAACGACTATCTTTATTCCACAATAACAACTTCATGCTAGAGAGCATAAATGGTTGTGCTACAACGAATATGATCGGTTGATCGGTATTATCTTAAATTACTTCGTGGGTATGAATGCGTTAAGGGGTACCTTGGTTTGTTGTGGAGAAAGGTATTAGTATTTAATTTGGAAACTCACCTAATTGGACTACTATACTTCCAGAACCGACAGCGTGGTAAGTATAATTATTATAATTAGAAGTTATTCCATCGAGAAGGGCAGGTCCATTAATGCTGTTACAAAACATTTTTAAGTCAATTAAATATATATTTTTAAATTAAAACTTTGTAATAAATATGAAACAATACAAACCCCTCCACAACTATTGCTTTCTTGTCAACTGTAGCAACATTTGTTGTTGGGCAGACAATGCCGTTTACAATTCTTGGTATGTTATCTTTGAAATAAGCCTCAAAAAATACAATATGAAATTCCTAGAACTTTAAATTTTAGAACAATTTTCATCATCAGAGAACGACTTTACAGGGTGTCTACTATTATGTGTACCAACAACTCTAATATACTGTGCTATCACTTTTTCGAAATAAAGATTCTGGACAGAGCGACATGCATATTGTCTGTGATCTATCACTTTCTTCCAGTTTTTCTGATCCGTTGAGACTTCGATATAGTATTGATAAAATCTGTGCAGTTGTGTACTGTTAACTGTTTTCTTGGATTTACTTACAATTCTTACCTCACTTCACCATCCCATAACATCATATGAATGTGATTAATAACGAAAGCGTGGTCGAATTTAATCGTTATTCCATTCTTTTCATTGGAGTTAATGTCATGGTCCGCATGTAAATCGATATTTCTATTGCCAGCCAACAATTCCGTTATGTTTTTTCGCCCAGTTATTACCACAGCTTTATGTTCAGAGGTTGCAAGATTGACACCACTTACTACAAATTTCAATAAAAATTTGAAGTCTAAAAATAACGTCACTGCTCTTACATAACTTTGCTCTGCGGTTGTACTCTCTCGGTTTGACATCTACAACTTCTGCAATTGCTTGAAGTAAATCTTCACAGTCTACAAGTTTTGAAGGCCACACTGTGGACACTATTTCTACAACACTAAGCCAAGATAACCGGACACATTTGACCACCAAACCAGCTACATCGTTATTTTTTTGACTCCATCGGGCTACACTTTTAAAAATTTCTAGTTCGGGTGCAAAAAACGTGTCTCTTTCCAACACCTTTATTAAAGATTTCTGCAAAAAATTTATGAATACTACCAAGGTCAGTTATTCTGGCTTTACTTGACTCAAGCCCTCGAAACAATCGTTGTCGATAATTTCCGAAGCGTGTTCGTCCGCGAAAGAATGACAGGCATCGCGAAGTTCCACCAAGTCGTACAAATTGGCCGTATTAAGGATCGAGCAAATGTTTTTGAGGCTGAGTAAAGATTTTATTTTATTTCCTACGGCGTATTCTAAATCAGTGAGTGAACACTGATGAGCTAAACTGATCAGGTCTAGACTGGCGTCCAAGTCGGAGGTGCTGATGGTGATGCTACCTGGAAAAAATCTATAAAAATTTTTGAAAATTTTTTCGTTTGAAGCACCTGTGTAAAGAAATCTAAGAACACTTCGGAAGGCATCAGGTGAAGCGTCTACAGATATTGTCAGTTCTGACTAAAAATACAAACATGGATCATGTTTTAGCAAGTTGGTGTTTTTTTAATGTAACGTACTTGTTGTATTTCATTTCCTCCATCGTAAAGAAGGCCTTCAAAATATGAGCTTCGTGCAGCAAGGATGACCTAAGTGATTTTGTTACAGTTGAAATTCTTTCAAGTTGAAACCATTTGTTGAAATTAGAGTATATATTTAAAAAAATATTTTTACCTTATGAGCAAAGATTCTTTCGTTGTCGACAATTAAAGTGACGTCCGAAAATGTTTCACTCAAAAAAAGTGATGAAATGTCTTTCACCAGCTTGGTGGTATCGTGAATTGTAATAGAATTTCCTTTTGGGTTAACCATTTTAACAACCACACAATTAGTTTGAAGGGAATCAAACAAAAACACTAAAAAGTATCGAATTTTTCGATGTTTTTATACTTTCTATACAGGAAACCTGTAATCTACATCCGTCAAAACATTCTGATTTATTTGTAGTTTAATCTTTTGTGCGGAAACACTATCATATATACCTAGTGTAGATAAAAAGAAAACCTGAGAAATTTTGTCCATCTGTGAGCACCAATGTCGTAACAAAAATTTACCTTATTTTGTAAGCAATGATTTGTTGCATGCCATCACTTAAAGTGACATGTGACTATTTTTCAGTCAAGTAAAGTTCTGAAATATGTTTGACTAAATTTGTGGTATCGTTGACAGTCACAGGATCTGTTGCAGAGTTAACCATTTTGGATGCGAACCCAGAACGAGTTAGACTTTGTTTAAGAAACTGTTAAAAGTCATAATAACAAGTGAATTTATAGCACAAGACCAGCCAGCAAATGCGAAACCAACATCTTTTGTCATCAATTTTAACAGTCTTTTCGTAGTTTGGCTATTGCATTAAAAAATTTTGAAGTAAATTTGATCTGCTTTTGTATTCGTCAATAATTAATCTAAAATTTGAAAAAACAACAAGATATCTTGTCATATCTAAATGTAAGGTATGCCAAAATCTTTACTAAAATTTCTTTTTTTGTGGCGACTTCTTCTCAAGGGGTGGTCTGACAAACTAAATTGGTGTCACTTCCATGTCTGAGAATTAGTTAAGAAATTGTATCTTTTGATTAACAGTTTTTTCGTAGTAGCTTCAAAAATTATAAAAATATCTCAATAATGTAAAAGGCAAATTTTCAGTCTCAAGAACCTCATTATTTAAATGAACCACTAAATTAATTACTATGTAAAAATGAAAATATTGTATAAATTCTGAAACTATTAAAATCACACTACTACATCGATGCACAGGTAGATACATGTGATTGACGACAACTGTAAAACCGAGTTTGATTGTCAATCAAATTTTAGATTTTACATGATTTAAGTTCTGGAAGTAATCATTGCCGAAGTTCAACCATAATGTAAAAACCTTCATTATTTTAAATTTAATCTACTGTACCTTCGAACATGAAATAAATTTGAGTCGGCGGTGTTTGTAAAGCTTTGGGTGGTATTGCTGCCTTCAGTTTGACGTAAATTAATGTAAACATAATTTCAATCAAGTCACAAGCATAGATATAAAATGAATACATGAATAGAGGTTGCACGTGTTTAATTTTTCACATTGGTAGACCTGTCAGTTGACAAATGATGTTTACCAACTGCCAGTTATGTATCTACCTCTAACAATGATAAAACTGGTCTCACAGCCAACTGTAATTCGTTTTATTTTCCATCGCACAAAAGAAAAGGTTAAATCATTTAATAAAATATGTTTTAACTCATTATTCTTTTTATTTCATTCATTACACGAAAAATGTCGGTATAAAGTTCTTCACTTATAGGTTTTTCCGTCATCACTGGCTGGACATTCGAAATGCAGCAAGTGTAGATACTGGACAATAAATAAGAACAAATATAAAAAGCAACATAATCAACAGTATGTAACGTACATTTCCAGCTTCAGCGGAAGCTCCGGTCCCGGTCATTCTTACGTAGACAACAGGTCTTTCAGAAAAACGAATTATTTGCCAAGATTTGTTTTCTTCATTTCGGTGGTCAGCTATCATGATCCATTCAGACTTATTGATTGAGATTTCTACATAATATTTATAGAAACGGCTGTCTTTATTCCACAATAAAAATTTCATGCTAGAGAGCATAAATGGTTGTGCTATAACAAATATGATACGTGTTGGGTTATCTTCGCTTATTTCGTGTGTATGGGTGCGTTAAAGAATACTTTGGTTTTTTATGAAGAAAGGTATTAGTATTTAATTTGGAAACTCACCTAATTGGACTACTATACTTCCAGAACCGACAGCGTGGTAAGTATGATTACTATAATTGGAAGTTATTCCATCGAGAAGAGCAGCTCCATTAATTCTGTTATAAAACATTTTTAAGTTAATTAAATATATATTTTTAAATTAAAACCTTATAATAATTACGAAAGAATACAAACCCCTCTACAACTATTGCTTTCTTGTCTACTGTAGCAACATTTGTTGTAGGGCAGACAATGTCGTTTACAATTCTTGGTATATTATCCTTGAAATAAGCCTCAAAAAATACAAGATGAAATTCCTAGAAGTTTAAATTTTAGAACAATTTTCATCACCAGGGAACAATTTTACAGGAAGTCTACTATTATGTGTACCAACAACTCTGATATACTGTGCTATCACTTTTTCGAAATAAAGATTCTGGACAGAGCGACATGCATATTGTCTGTAATCTATCTTTTTTTTCCAGTTTTTCTGATCAATTGAGACTTCGATATAGTATTGATAAAATCTGTGCAGTTGTGTACTGTTAACTGTTTTCTTGGATTCACTTACAATTCTTACCTCACGTCACCATCCCACAACATCATATTAATATGATTAATAACGAAAGCATGGCCGAATTTAATCGTTATTCCATTCTTTTCATTGGGGTTAATGTCATGGTCTGCGTGTAAACCGATATTTCTATTGCCAGCCAACAATTCCGTGATGTTTGTTCGCCCAGTTATTACCGCAGCTTTATGTTCAGAAGTAGCAAAATTGACTCCGCTCACTATAAATTTCAATACAAATTTGAAGTCATAATATAACGTGACTACTCTTACATAACTTTGCTCTGCAGTTGTACTCTCTCGGTTTGACATCTACAACTTCTGCAATCGCTTGAAGTAAATCTTCACAGTCTACAAGTTTTGAAGGCCACACTATGGACACAATTTCTACAACACTCAGCCAAGATAACCGGACACAGTTGACCACCAAACCAGCTACATAGTTATTTTTTTGACACCATCGAGCTACATTTTTAAAAATTTCTAGTTCGGGAGCAAAAAACGTGTCTCTTTCCACCATCTTTATTAAAGATTTCTGCAAAAAATTTGTGAATACTACCAAAGTCAGTTATTCTGGTTTTACTTGACTCAAGCTTTCGAAACAATCGTTGTCGATGATGTCCGAAGCGTGTTCGTCCGCGAAAGAATGACAGGCATCGCGAAGTTCCACCAAGTCGTACAAATTGGCCGTATTAAGGATCGAGCAAATGTTTTTGAGGCTGAGTAAAGATTTTATTTTATTTCCTACAGCGTATTCTAAATCAGTGAGTGAACACTGATGAGCTAAACTGATTAGGTCTAGACTGGGGTCCAAGTCTGAGGGGCTAATGGTGATGCTACCTGGAAAAACAATAAATTGATAAATTTTTGAAAAATTTTTCGTTCGAAGCACCTGTGTAAAGAAATTTAAGAACACTTCGGAAGGCATCAGGTGAAGTGTCTAGAGATATTGTCAGTTCTGACTAAAAATAGAAACATGAAACATGTATTATCAAGTTAGTGTTTTTTTAGTGTAACGTACTTGTTCTATTTCATTTCCTCCATCGTAAAGAAGGCCTTCAAAATATGAGCTTCGTGCAGCGAGGATGACCTAAGTGATTTTGTTACAGTTGAATTTCTTTCGAGGTTAAACCATTCGTTGAAAGTAAAGGATTTAAAAAATATTTTTACCTTATGAGCAAAGATTCTTTCGTTGTCGACAATTAAAACGACGTCTGAAAATGTTTCACTCAAAAAAAGTGATGAAATGTCTTTCACCAGCTTGGTGGTATCGTGAATTGTAATAGAATTTCCTTCTGGGTTAACCATTTTAACAACCACACAGTTAGCTTGAAGGAAATCAAACAAAAACACTAAAAAGTATCGAATTTTTCGATGCTTTTATATTTTCTATACAGGAAACCAGAAATCAACATCCGTCAAAACATTCTGTTTTTATTTGTAGTTTAATCTTTTGTGCGGAAACCATATCATATACAGAGTCATCAAAATTGATTGAGAGAGTTGGTAAACCTGAACTTGAATAATTTGGTTTATTAAGTTGTATAAAAATATTAGCTGTCAGATTTGAAGTTTCAAGTTTCAAATTTCAAAACTCAGTGGCGTCTTTTTTCGACTTTTTTTTTGGTAAAAACATTAGTTGTCAGATTTGAAGTTTCTAATTTTTGTCACGCCACTGAATTCATTGCCATATAACCTTAAACAAATCTGTCATAAGGTTGACAAACTTCACGACAAAAACAGGGGGTACCAACTCTCTCAATCAATTTTGATGAACCTGTATACTTCGTGTAATTAAAAAGAGAACCTTTGATCACATTCAGAAATTGAATATCTTCATCGTTCGTTAAAATGTGTGTAATTGATATCATTATTCTTTTCAACACTATAATAAATTTATCAATAGCTTAAAACAAACGTTTATCGAGCTCCTAGCATCACATTTTTGCCATTCATTTTGGCTCTAAACACGAAATATAGTAAATTTGAAACCTTTAAGCCTTGCTTGATTGGATAGTTTAAGTGCAGTAATCAAAATGAGTTGTAAATAAATAGTTGTAAACGATTTAGACTTTACTATATTTCACTTGCTTGGTGGTAAGCTATAATTTCTGAAAAGTGTGGTCCATTGTAGAGTTGTAAGCATTCGGAAGTTCAAGTACTGAATTGTTCCATTTTTTTTAATTCATCGATAATTCTAATACATGTAGGTATAGTGCCATCGACAATCGTTTTAGTGAACCTTCAACTGATAAATGACAGACCAGTTAACTGACAAAATGTTGTGATGCCTCAATTATACAGTGATATCATCTATAAAACTAGTTTCCCAACCAAACTTAATTAATTTTTATTCTTGATCAGACAGTATTCAAGACCACTAAAAAAAATTAAATGTGAATAAATAGGCATATCTAAAATTTGCGGGATCTATAACAGTAGTTAGGATTGATCATCTTATGATGATAATGACGTAATTTAAAACAAATATAAAACTTTGTCGTTTTAAGATTTCCTTATCTCTTCTGAATATAAGACAGTGATCAAATAATGTAACAAAATGTGCAGTCAAGGAGAAAAGAAAGGTCAGTATGACTATTACTATTATTATTGTTATACATATAATAGCTGACTGGGAAATTTTTTTTTTTAACGATACTTTTTTTCACTCTTTGAATTAATGAAGGAAAGATCAAATACTTCAATAAATCGTATATTTATATATGATTATTTTTATCCTAGTACACAGAAATTTTCTCGTAAGGTTCTTCATTTGTAGATTGGTACCTCGTCACTGACTGGACACTCGAAATGTAATAAGTGTAAAGCCTGCATAATGAGTAACAAATAAATATAAAAAGACACATTATTCATGATGTGCAACATACATTTCCAGTTCCGGCGGAAGCTCCGGTCCCGGTGATTCTTATAAAGACAATAGGTCTTTCAGAAAAATGAATTATTTGCCAAGATTTGTTTTCTTCATTTCGGTGATCAGCTATCATGGTCCATTCAGACTTATTGATTGAAACTTCAATGTAATATTTGTAAAAGCGACTGTCGTTATTCCATAACAACAACTTCATGCTGGAGAGCATAAACGGTTGTGCTACAACAAATAATATAGAATTTAATTTTACTTAGTACGTATGAATGTGTTAGAAAATAGGAGTATTTAGTTTTCATATGAAGAGGGATGCTGGAGTAGATCATATACCTACAGTTTGCGAAAACTTACCTAACTGCACTATTATACTTCCAGAACCGATAACGTGATGCGTATAATTACCATAATTGGATGTTATGCCATCGAGAAGAGCGGCTCCATTAACTCTGTGTTAAAAGATCATTACTTAGGAGTATTAAATATATAACATTAAATCAAACTTTGTCAAAGATATAATAAAACAACACAGACCCCTCTACAACCATTGCCTTCTTGTCTTTTGTAGCAACATTTGTTATAGGGCAGACAATATCGTTGACGATTTTTGGTATCTCGTCTTTGAAATAAGCCTCGAAAAATACAAGATGAAACTCCTAGAAGCTTAAATTTTAGAATAATCTTAATCAGTAGAGACCGATTTTACATTGTGTGCACTGTTATGTGTACCAACAACTCTTATATACTGCGTTATCACTTTTTCGAAATAAAGATTCTGGACAGAGCGACATGCATATTGTCTATAATCTACCACCATCTTCCAGTTTTTCTCATCAGTTGAGACTTCGATATAGTATTGATAAAATCTGCATAGTTGTGTACTGTTAATTGCATTGTTGGATACACTTACATTTCTTACCTAACTCCACCATCCCACAACATCATATGAATGTGATTAATAACGAGAGGGTAACCAAATTTAATCGTTATTCCATTCTTTTCAGTGGTCGTAATATCATGGTCTGCATGTAAACTGATGTTTCTGTTGCCAGACAATAATTCTTTAATATTTCTTCGTCCAGTTGTTACCACAGCTTTATGTTCAGATGTAGCAACATTGACACCACTCACTTCAATTTTTTAACAAAAATTTTCAGTTTAAAATAACGTGACTACCCTTACATAATTTTGCTCTACACTTGGATTTCCTCGGTTTAACCTCTACAGCTTCTGCAATCGCCTGAAGTAAGTCTTCACAATCTACAAGTTTTGAAGGCCACACTATGGACACAATTTCAACAACACTCAGCCAAGACAACCGAACGCATTTGACCAGTAAACCATCTACATCGTTATTTTTTTGACACCATTGGGCTACTCTTTTAAAAATTTCTAGTTCGGGAGCAAAAAAAGTGTCTCGTTCTAACACTTTAATTAAAGATTTCTGCAAAAAATGGGTGAATCCTTCAAACGTCGATCATTCGGGTTTTACTTGACTCAAGCCCTGGAAACAATCTTTGTCGATGATTTCCAAAGCGTGTCGGTCGGCAAAAGAATGACATGCATCGCGAATTTCCACTAACTCATACAAATTGGCCGTATTGAGGGTCGAGCAAATGTTTTTGAGGCTGAGTACAGATTTTATCTGATTTGCAATGGCGTATTCGAAATCAGTCAGCGAACACCGATGAGCTAAACTGGTCAGGTCTAGAGTGGGGTCGAAGTCTGAGGGGCTTATGGTGATGCTACCTAAAAAATATATGAAGTATTCTGAAAAAATTTCCGTTGAAGTCACCTGTATAGAGGAATTGAAGAACACTTCGAAAGGCGTCAGGTGAGGTGTCCAAAGATATTGTTAGTTCTGACTAAAAATAGAAATATTTTTTAGCAAGTTAGTGTTTTTTGAGTGTGACATACTTGTTCTATTTCCTGTTTTCCATCGTAAAGAAGGTCTGCAAAGTATGAACTTCGTGCAGCAAGGATGACCTAAGTGATTTTCAGTTGAATTCCTCTGATAGCTATACTATTTGTTGAAAGTAACGTATTTAAAACGATTACCCTTACCTTATGAGCGAAGAATCTTTCGTTGTCGAGAATTAAAGTGACGTCTGAAAATTTTTCACTCAAAAAGAGTGATGAAATGTCTTTGACCAGCTTGGTAGTCTCGCTGATAATGGTAGAATTTTCTTCTAGGTTAACCATTGTAACAATCATACAATTAGTTCGAAAGGAATCAAACAAAAAGACTAAAAAGAGTCGGATTTTTCGATGCTTTTATACCTTCTATACAGGAAACCTGCAATCAACATCCGTCAAAACATTTTGTTTTTATTTCTAGTTTAATCTTTTGTGTGGAAGTGGAAGTAATATCAAATATACCTAGTGTGGTTAAAAAGAAAACTTTGTTCACTTTGAGAAATAGAATCTTTTCATCGTACGTTAAAATGTGTGTATTTAATTGATATTTTAATCTTCAAAAATTGATATAACAGTAGTAAAATTTGGTAGTCCATCCAGTTTGTATAGCCATCCGTTATTAGTGACCACAGATTCATATCTTGATGACCTTTTAATAAAACATGTGTTTTTATTTGAATAATATAATAAATTTTTCAATAGCTCGAAACAAATGTTTAGCGAGCTACCAGCATCACGTTTTAGATATCAGCATTTAACCAAGATAAAATCAACAATATTTCGCCTCTAAACACGAAATATAGTGAATCTGAAACCACCAGGCCTTGCTTATTGTGATTGGACAGTTTAATGGCAGTATTCAAAATGAGTTATAAATAGTTGTGAATGATTTAGATTTTATGATATTTTAGTTGTTTAGTGATGAACTGATAAGCTATACTTTCTGAAAAGTGTGGTTCATTTAAGAGTTGTAAGTACTAGAAAGTTCAAAAACTGAATTGTTTAATATTTTTTAATTAATTGATAAATTCTAATTTATAGTGCCATCGACAATCGTTTTAGTCAACATTCAAATAATACGTGACAGATCAGTCAGTTAACAAAATGTTGTGATGCGTCAGTTATACAGTAGTAACATCTGTAAAACTAGCCATACCTATTTCGTTTTATTTTCTATCGGAAAGTATTCAAGATTACTAAAAAAAATTTAATGTGAATAAATAGGCGTATAATAAATTTATGAGATCTATAATGTCATTTAGAGTTGACTATTTTATGATGATGATGTCACTTAAAACAATAAACTTTGGCGTTATAGAATCCCTTATCCCTTCTGAATATAAGACAATGATCAAATAATGTAACAAAGTGCACAGCTAAGGGGAACAGTATGACTATTACTATTATTATTGTTACACAAAATTTGACTTCGCAAATTTTTTTGTTAGGGATACTTTTTTTCACTGTTGAACTAAAGAAGGAAAGATCAAATACTTCAATAAATCGTATATTTATACATGATTATTTTTATCCTAGTACACAGCAATTTTCTCGTAAGGTTCTTCATTTGTAGATTGGTACCTCGTCACTGACTGGACACTCGAAATGTAGTAAGTGCAAAGCCTGCATAATGAGTAACAAATAAATATAAAAAGACACATTATTTATGATGTACAACATACATTTCCAGCTCCAGCGGAAGCTCCGGTCCCGGTGATTCTTATAAAGACAATAGGTCTTTCAGAAAAATGAATTATTTGCCAAGATTTGTTTTCTTCATTTCGGTGATCAGCTATCATGGTCCATTCAGACTTATTGATTGAAACTTCAATGTAATATTTGTAAAAGCGACTGTCGTTATTCCATAACAACAACTTCATGCTGGAGAGCATAAACGGTTGTGCTACAACAAATAATATAGTATTTTATTTTACTTCGTACGTATGAATGTGTTAGAAAATAGGAGTATTTAGTTTTCATATGAAGAAGGATGCTGGAGTAGATCATATACCTACAGTTTGCAAAAACTTACCTAACTGCACTATTATACTTCCAGAACCGATAACGTGATGCGTATAATTACCATAATTGGATGTTATGCCATCGAGAAGAGCGGCTCCATTAACTCTGTGTTAAAAGATTATTAATTAGGAGTATTAAATATATAATATTAAATCAAACTTTGTCAAAGATATAATACAACAATACAGACCCCTCTACAACCACTGCCTTCTTGTCTACTGTAGCAACATTTGTTGTAGGGCAGACAATACCGTTCACAATTCTTGGTATCTCATCTTTGAAATAAGCCTCGAAAAATACAAGATGAAACTCCTAGAAGTTTAAATTTTAGAATAATCTTAATCAGTAGAGGCCGATTTTACATTTTGTACACTGTTGTGTGTACCAACAACTCTTATATACTGCGTTATCACTTTTTCGAAATAAAGATTCTGGACAGAGCGACATGCATATTGTCTATAATCTACCACTTTGCTCCAATTTTTCTCATCAGTTGAGACTTCGATATAGTATTGATAAAACCTGTGTAGTTGTGTACTGTTAATTGTTTTCTTGGATACACTTACATTTCTTACCTTACTGCACCATCCCACAACATCATATGAATGTGATTAATAACGAGAGGGTACCCAAATTTAATCGTTATTCCATTCTTTTCAGTGGGCTTAATATCATGGTCTGCATGTAAACTGATGTTTCTGTTGCCAGACAATAATTCTTTGATATTTCTTCGTCCAGTTGTTACCGCAGCTTTATGTTCAGAGGTAGCAACATTGACACCACTCACTTCAAATTTTAACAAAAATTTTCAGTTTAAAATAACATGACTAGTGACTACTCTTACATAATTTTGCTCTACAGTTGGATTTCCTCGGTTTAACATCTACAGCTTCTGCAATCGCCTGAAGTAAGTCTTCACAGTCTACAAGTTTTGAAGGCCACACTATGGACACTATTTCTACAACACTCAGCCAAGACAATCGGACGCATTTGACCAGTAAACCATCTACATCGTTATTTTTCTGACACCATTGGGCTACTCTTTTAAAAATTTCTATTTCGGGAGCAAAAAAAGTGTCTCGTTCTAACACCTTAATTAAAGATTTCTGCAAAAAATGGGTGAATACTTCAAAAGTCGATCATTTGGGTTTTACTTGACTCAACCCCTGGAAACAATCGTTGTTGATGATTTCCGAAGCGTGACGATCGGCAAAAGAATGACATGCATCGCGAATTTCCACCAGCTCGTACAAATTGGCCGTATTGAGAGTCGAGCAAATGTTTTTGAGGCTGAGTACAGATTTTATTTGATTTGCAATGGCATATTCGAAATCAGTCAGTGAACACTGATGAGCTAAACTGGTCAGGTCTAGAGTTGGATCGAAGTTTGAGGGGCTTATGGTGATGCTACCTAAAAAATATATGAAGTATTTTGAAAAATTTTCCGTTGAAGTCACCTGTATAGAGGAATTTAAGAACACTTCGAAAGGCCTCAGGTGAGGTGTCTAAAGATATTGTCAGTTCTGACTAAAAATAGAAACATGTTGTAGCAAGTTAGTGATTTTTGAGTGTGACATACTTGTTCTATTTCCTTTTTTCCATCGTAAAGAAGGTCTGCAAAGTATGAACTTCGTGCAGCAAGGATGACCTAAGTGATTTTCAGTTGAATTCTTCTCATAGTTATACTATTTGTTGAAAGTAACGTATTTAAAACGATTATTCTTACCTTATGAGCGAAGAATCTTTCGTTGTCGAGAATTAAAGTGACGTCTGAAAATTTTTCACTCAAAAAGAGTGATGAAATGTCTTTGACCAGCTTGGTAGTCTCGCTGATAATGGTAGAATTTTCTTCTAGGTTAACCATTGTAACAAACACACAATTAGTTCGAAGGGAATCAAACAAAAAGACTAAAAAGATTCGGATTTTTCGATGCTTTTATACTTTCTATACAGGAAACCTGCAATCAACATCCGTCAAAACATTCTGTTTTTATTTGTAATTTAATCGTTCGTGGAAGACAACAATATATATACCTAGTGTACTTAAAAAGAAAACTTTTCATCACATGTTAGAACGTAATTGTTGCTGATATAAAAGTAGATAGATCTATCTTTCCTTTCCATTGTCCCTGAAGCAATTTTTTCACAAACTGCTGAGAAAGAATGTTAAGAATTTGCACACATTACATGAGTTCTAGTGAGACGAATCATTATATTTTTGTTACAGATGAATAGAAAAGGTTTAGGTTTACTATTTACACTATCTCAAAATAAATCTGAAATTTGACAATACTCTGTTCAGTTTCTGCTGACAAACTAGTCTAACAAAATTGTCAACAGACAACAGACAAACAGAAAAAGGGGACCTAGTTTTTCACCTTCTAGATTTAGACGTTTGAAGGATTGAGAAAACATCATGAAATTAGCCATTGCTTAAGAGGATCTTGTTATCTTACGTTCAGCTAGAAAAAAATAGGTCGTGTTTACTTGTCTCTTGAAAATGAATGCAGTATATGTTTTACTAGCACATTTGAAAATATCCGCTGCATCTGAACTGAGTGTTCTTGAGAATAACCTGAAAACATTATTTATACGTTTTCGTTTCATCACTACATTCGCAGTGTAGTAAATGAAAATGGTGAATAAATGCAGAAAATTAATAGAAATATCACATTTTCAACAAACCACAAACGTTTCCGGCAGCTGGAGAAGCTCCAGTTCCAGTTGTTCTGACGAAAGCTACACGTCTCTCAGAGAACCGTTAAATTTGCCAAGATTTATTTTCTTCGTTTCTGTGATCTGTGATGATTGTCCATTCAGTCTTATTTACGGACGTTTCGACATCCTGTGAGCTAGGTCCTCCACTTTAAGCTTTATACTTACTTCAGATAATGATGGGTTGAGCTAGAATTTTTAATTTGTAAAATGTGAGCTAGTAACCCCGTCGAGCAGTGCAGGTCCATTGGTTCTATTAATTTTAATATCAAATAATTTAGATAATTTAACATTTACGAGTCTAGGGATGTTTTCCTTGAAATAGGCTTCAAAGAGTATTAGCGATTTTCAAAATACAAATTCTTATGAGATCGACACGTAAATTCACTATAATCTATAATTTTTTTACAGTTCTTTCGGTCGAGTGAACTTCCACTACTTCCACATAATATCGAAAAGTTCTAGAATTCATTCTAGTTTTGTCCTTTCTATAAATATTATTTATCTTAAATCTCCATCATATAAACTCATACGAATATGATTAATAACAACCGAAAACTTAATAATCCAATTTTATGGCCACACGTGCCTAGTCCATGTATGATGGTTTTGTTTCGGTTGCCATTTAATAAATGCTCGACTTTAGGCCCGGTAATCACAGTAGTTTCATGTTCAGGAGTGGCAACAGTAATATCCAGTATTTAAAAAGAAACGGTTAAAAATATAATTTCGCCTGATAAATTTCTTACATAATTTTGCTCTACAAGTTGTTTCTTTGGGTTTTACATCAACAATTTCCGCAATAGCTTGGAGCAAATCTTCACAAGCAACAAGCTTTGAAGGCCAAACTCTAGACACAATTTCTATAATATTCAAGCAAGATAACCGACGACTTTTTTAGATCATGTAATATTGTGCTCCCACAATTGTTGGGAAATGGAGTAGGGCTTTGATTTAGTAAATAAAATACTCTGCTACATTCATTAACTTTTCTGAGATGAATTAGAAATAACAGAATGGTATGAAGATAACACATGTACAGAAGCATTATATTTGACTTGTTGAATACTTATTGTTTTATAGAATCGTCGACACATCACAGCCAAACGGAAACGGAAGACCTACCTTTTTCATATTTTAGGAGATATTAGACGTCACGTTGACTCTAACCATTTGCTAAATGGACCCTATTAGAATATTTCCCTAGTTTATATTCGAGAAGGTAAAAATATATCGTATTTTGTTTCTTAGAAGGTTTTATTATAGTAATCATTAATAAATGGGGATACTAAACACAGAATACATTTTTTTATTATTTATGTTATTTAAGTAGTTAACATTCAAAAATGGCCGTTGCGTTCGAAATGAGTGTTCTTGAGGATAACCTATAAATATTATTTATACGTTTTCTTTTCTTCGGTGGTAAGACATTCGAAGTGTAGTAAATGAAATTGCTGCACAAATGCAAAAAATTAATACAAATATCACATTTCCAACAAACCACAAACGTTTGCAGCAGCTGCAGAACATCCAGTTCCGGTAATTCTGATGAAAGATACAGGTCTCTCAGAGAAACGTAAGACTTGCCAAGATTTATTTTCTTCATTTCTGTGATCTGCGACGATTGTCCATTCAGACTTATTTACCGAAGTTTCGACATAATATTTGTAAAATCTATCGTCTTGGTCCCACAATTTAAGCTTCATGCTTGACAGCATGAAGGGTTGAGCTGGAATTTTTAATTCATAAAATCGGAACAAATTTCCTTTTGTTTGTTTTTTCTTTCATTTCAAAATGATGGTTAATAATTTCTGATAATAATTTAAGATATAACTCACCTAATTGTACAATTATACTTCCAGCCCCAATTACGTGGTACGTGAAACTACCATAGTTAGTAGTAACCCCGTCAAGTAATGCACCTCCATTGGTGCTATAAATATTAGTGTTAAATAATTTGGTATTCAGTCTTAAAATAAACTAACCCTTCAACAACAACTGCTTTTTTTTCCACGGTGGCCACGTTTGAGGTGGGAAAGACAATGCCATTTACGATTCTTGGTATGTTTTCCTTGTAATACGCTTCGAAGAATATTAAATGGAAGGCCTACAAGCGAAGAAGTAGCACAGGCGGATGTAATCAATAATTAAATTAATTAATTAATACCGTGTTTGCTGAATTTAAAGTGCCAATTATTTTCACATACTGTACAACTTTTTTTTCAAAATATAAATCCTGGTAAGATCGACAACCAAGTTCACTATAATCTATAACTTTTTTCCATTTCTTCTGATCGACTGAAACTTCCACATAATACCGGTAAGTTCTGAAATTTACTCCAGTTTTGTTTTCTGCATAAATAATTGATTTACCTTAAATCTCCATCATATAAACACATACGAATGTGATTAATAACAAACGGAAACCCAAATTTAATAGTCAATCCAGTTTTATCACCAATCATTGTCTCCGTCCAGTTGTTCACATTTCGGTTGCCATTTAACAAATGCTCGGTTCTTCGGCCGGTAATCACAGTTGCTTTATGTTCAGGAGTAGCAACATTAACGCCCGGGACTTAAAAAAAACCGTTAAGAAAATATTTTCAGCTGATAAATTCCTTACATGATTTTCCCCTGCAATTCGTCTCATTCGGTTTTACATCGACAATTTCCGCAATAGCTTGCAACAAATCTTCACAACTGACAAGCTTCGAAGGCCAAACTTTAGACACAATTTCTACAACACTCAACCAAGATAACCGAACACATTTCACCACCAAATCAGCAGCGTGGACGTTAACTTGACACCATTGGGCTACTTTTTCAAAAATTTCTATTTCGGGAGCAAAAAACGTGTCTCTTTCTAACAATTTAATCAAGGAGTTCTGTAATGTACACATCAGCATTGACAAAGACACGTTATTCGGGTTTTACTTGGCTTAAATGCTTGAAACAGTCATTGTTGAGGATTTCTGAAGCATGTTGATCCATGAAAACGTGACAAGCGTCACGAAGTTCAACCAAGTTGTACAAATTTGCGGTGTTCAAAACAGAGCAAATATTTTTGTGATTGAGCAGAGGCTTTATTTTCTGCCCTATGGCGACTTCTAGATCGGTAAGGGCGCATTGGTGGGCTAAACCAATAAGATCCAGAGTGGGGTCCAAGTTTGAAGGTGTTATAGTGATAGTACCTATAACAAAATGTTGAATTTTTGAGGAAAATTTGAATTGAACGTGCCTGTGTAGAGAAATTTGAGAACGGCCAGGAAGGAGTCGGCTGAAGTATTTAGAGAGATTGTAAGTTCGGTCTAAAATTAAAATTTCGAATAAATATACACACCTCTTTGACGCGGTGCTTTACCTGTTCTATTTCTTGTCCATCTTCGTAAAGGAGGTTCTCAAAGTAGGAACTCCTTGCTGCGAGAATAACCTAAAGATTTCTCGATTAACAGTGGTATGGTTTAGTTGACACTTGGATAGTTTGCATAACGGTCTTGAAATATCTTTGACTAGAACTAGGATAGAAATTTTCTTACCTTATGTGCAAAAATCCTTTTATTGTCCACAAGTAAAGTGATATTGGAAAGTTTTTCGCTCAGATACAGCGAGGCAAAATCATTTACCAATTTTGATGTTTCGTTGATGATAACAGAATTTCTTTCTGAATTACCCATCGCGAAAATAACACAGTACTGTACAACTTTTACAAAACCGTGACAATGATAATGATCAGATTTGCAGGACCTTTTATACCTTAAAAACGTAAACATCTTTATCATTTTTTACGATAAAGTTGTGTTTTGTGGTATTGAATATTTATTTCAAATCGCCATTCTTGTAACTGTTTAGAGTACCTATAACAGAAATTCCATTAAAAGGGATTCGCAATTTTATTAAATCGGGATTCCTTTAAATGTTGATCCAAATATTTCAGATTGCATGGAAATATGAATTATTATCCCATCTGAAAAAGTGTCTCTCAGCCATATTTATATAAATGGTGAATAATTTAAATGATGCGACACTGATCTGCTTAATTATAACCTGCTCTGTGCGATATACGAGGGAATTTTGATAAATTCTTAGCCTACCATATGAACAAAAAACTATTCTTTTTCAACTCTTAAAGAGATGTTTCTTCTTGCTGCAAATCAGCTCTCTACCAGTTTCTATTACTTCTTCGTTCGACGAAAATGCATACCTTTTCGAACATTTTAACATTTGATGAAACAAACAATAGTTGGAGAAAATCCTGCAAAAACAGAACAGTTTTGGACATTTTTTCCATAATTTTTCGTCGCAAATTTGTTAAAAATAAAGCGGATTTGACTTTCACGAAATTTCTTAGGTTTTGGAGAAGCTGAGAGCCTTCATTCCATCGATTCTTTTTCGTTTATAGATCCTAGAAATACAAGCAGGCTTCAACCAGGGTAACGCGGATTAAAAACACAGGATCATCTTCAAAACTTTGCACAAATTTGTTTCACTTCCAGATTGAAGTGAATTATGTGATGTACAGGTTCACATGAAATTTTTACAAAATCATGTAATGAATTGCATCAACATTTTGGATGGTAGACCCAGACCAGTCTTTCAGGTCTCTTATCAAGTCATCATCTTCAATGGTAAGGCAATTTTTAATAGAATTGCCAACAGACGACATGCAAACCGAAAGGGTGACATAGTTTTGGTATTCTAGGAGCTATGAAAGGTCTAGAAAAGAAAAATTAGCTATTCGTTGAAGGGATCCCATTATAATACTTCCCTAGTTTCTATATCTCGGAAAGAAAAAACGTATTGTATTTTGTTGGTTGGAAACATTTACTATCATAATATGTTTTATTATTATCATTTATTTATTTACATATACAGGGTGCCGCATCCAAGTCTGGATATAGGGAATTAACATGCGAATTGGTTTTTATTTTATAATATCTCCCCAGATCACTTTAAAGCTATTATTGAGTGATGGCTTTGTGGAGGTCGAAGAGGGCTATCGGCCAGTATTTTTTTCAAATCGTTGCATCGCGCTCATTCACTGTAAAAAGGTTTTAAAAATCGTATTTTGAAATTCGCGCCCGATCCGAATTGTCGCGAAGTGTTCCGTCGTACTGTCGAAGTTCGGCGATCGCGTATTTTCATTATCCATGCAAAATTCAAATGTCAAAGTGAAATTAGAAATTATTCTCATCAGAAATCAACGAACAAGTCAAACTGAATTATTTTATCCAGTGTGATGATTATTGTAGGACAAATTAAACGGAATAAAGGCACAAATTGATCCATTCATTCGTCATAGTGCGCGACCCCGTCAAACGAGCCATCTCGAACTACAATCAGACCGTATCCAAAAAGCCCAAGATGAAGACTTCAAGACTTCGAGCAGCTGGTCTTCCTCAAAACCCCATCAAAGCCCATCGGCAGCATTGCGACATTTTCTGGGAGCCCTCAAGCTAGGAATGTACTCGGGCTGCCACACTCAGTAATCACTGAACGACTCAAATTGAATTATTTTATCCAATATGACGATTATTGTAGGTCAATTTAAACGAAATAAATGCACAAACTGCACAAAATATTTTATTAGGTTATGCTATGTTCTACTGCGATTAGATGAAAAAGCGGGGGCCTGCATGTTCTTCAACAGTTAATTTAATTAGTAGGTAATTTGGATAAATTTCACCCTTTTTTTTGGAATCACTAAAGATTGGAAGTCAATTGATTTTACATTCGTTAAGCAGGGATGGATTTTTTGCCTCCAGGAAGCATCTTCATTACAGGAAATTTTTGAGAGAGAAATGTAGAATATCGACTCATCAACATTTTAAAGTATTTTTCTCTATTACGAATGTGTTTTGGGATTCAGAAACTTTTGTATTACTGTTTTATTTGTTTATTGTGTTAACAACAAAAATAAAAATAAGATTTCGCAAAATAAAGTTACATTTATTTTCAAAGGTGATAAAAATTACATAAAATCAGGTGGGCACGACGTTTTCTAGGGGTCTTAAACAGATGAGATAGAAGAATTTCAAAAAGCATCATGACAAAAAATTGAAGCCTGGGGACTACTTCTCACATACAGAGTTTTACGAAGGAACGCTTGAGAGAATCTAGGCTGATGGAGAGTTTTTGAGGAAAATTTGTTTTACTGACGTTCATTTGGTCTTAAGGGAAGTTATAATCGTCAGAACGATCAAATTTGAGCATTACACAACCCTCACGTGGTCCATGACCTTCGTTATCAATGGCGTGCAATTGTCAGTGTATGACTGGGGCTTCTAGGACATCATGTCATTGCACCTTTTTTCATCGAATCCGGATTGAATGCTCAGAAGTAGGATAATATGCTAGCTCAGCAAATACTTCCTGGGACTCGAAGGGTGCGGCATCTGCAGCAGGTCTTTTACATCCAGGACCAAATCTCCAGCCATACAGTTCGCATAAATGTTGTTTATTTGAACCAGTATTTTTCCGCAATGTTGGAATGGAAAGTTTGCACCGCCCCATTGGCCTGTGCAATCGCCGGATATAAACCCCTGAGAATTTTTTCTTTGGAGATTTCTTCACGACCATCTGCATTCAGACAAGCTATACAAACAGAGAAGCGCTGAAACAAGCAATCCAGCAATATTGTCTTCAGATTTCAACTAAAATGCTGATCAACACGCGTAGGAGTTTTGAAGATTGGCTTACTTACTGTACAGTTGCTGAGAGCAGTCTTTTTGAGCAATTCTTGAAAATAGTGCAATACTTCTCCAGATTCGTACAATATTTCATTACTTCATTCATCAACAATTGTTAAGTTTTGTTATTTGTAGTTATCTAAATGGTTCATTAAAAGGTCCTCTTCAAAAGCGCCAGCTATTTTGATGGTAAATCTTATCATCACACAATAAGAAAAGCGGGCCCTAGCTTTTTCATCTAATCGCAGTAGAACATGGCATTTTAATGAGATTTTAGTAATAAAGACTCGATCAGCACCAGCAACATAACCTAATAAAATATTTTGTGCAGTTTGTGCATTTATTTCGTTTAAATTGACCTACAATAATCGTCATATTGGATAAAATAATTCAATTTGAGTCGTTCAGTGATTACTGAGTGTGGCAGCCCGAGTACATTCCTAGCTTGAGGGCTCCCAGAAAATGTCGCAATGCTGCCGATGGGCTTTGATGGGGTTTTGAGGAAGACCAGCTGCTCGAAGTCTTGAAGTCTTCATCTTGGGCTTTTTGGATACGGTCTGATTGTAGTTCGAGATGGCTCGTTTGACGGGGTCGCGCACTATGACGAATGAATGGATCAATTTGTGCCTTTATTCCGTTTAATTTGTCCTACAATAATCATCACACTGGATAAAATAATTCAGTTTGACTTGTTCGTTGATTTCTGATGAGAATAATTTCTAATTTCACTTTGACATTTGAATTTTGCATGGATAATGAAAATACGCGATCGCCGAACTTCGACAGTACGACGGAACACTTCGCGACAATTCGGATCGGGCGCGAATTTCAAAATACGATTTTTAAAACCTTTTTACAGTGAATGAGCGCGATGCAACGATTTGAAAAAAATACTGGCCGATAGCCCTCTTCGACCTCCACAAAGCCATCACTCAATAATAGCTTTAAAGTGATCTGGGGAGATATTATAAAATAAAAACCAATTCGCATGTTAATTCCCTATATCCAGACTTGGATGCGGCACCCTGTATTTGTTATTTAAGAAGTCAATATTTAGATTAAGCATTGCGTCGGAAGTGCGAGTTCTTGTACATATATAACCTAAAAATATTATTTATATGTTGTCTTTTCGTCACTGGTGGGACATTCTAAGTGTAGCAAATGAAAACCCTAAACAAATGCAGAAAATTAGCAAAAATATCAAATTGACAACAAACCACAAACGTTTCCAGCTTCTGAAGAAGCTCCAGTTCCAGTTATTCTGATGAAAGATATGGGTCTCTCAGAGAAACGTAACACTTGCCAAGATTTATTTTCTTCATTTCTGTGATCTGCGGCGATTGTCCATTCGGTTTTATTTACCGAAGTTTCAACATAATATTTGTAAAATCTACCATCTTGATCCCACAATTTAAGCTTTATACTGGAGATTATAAAGGGTTGAGCTGGAATTTTTCTTTGATAAGATAGGAAAAAGTTTATTTTATAGGAGTAGGTATGTTATTAGGTGTTGCAGTCTTTCCTAGAACTTCAACGTTCAAGACGAAACTAACCTAACTGTATGACTATACTTCCAGCACCAATTACGTGGTACGTGAAACTTCCATAGTTAGTAGTAACCCCGTCGAGTAATGCAGCTCCATTTGTTCTATAAATATTAGTGTTAAATAATTTTGTCTTTCGTCTTAAAGTCTACTAACCCTTCAACGACAACTGCTTTTTTTTCCGCAGTAGCAACGTTTGAGGTGGGACAGACGATTCCATTGACAACTCTTGGTATGTTTTCCTTATAATAGGCTTCGAAGAATATCAAATGAAATGCCTATAAACGATGAGCAAGCACAGGTGGATATAGTCAATAATTATTAAAGCTCATACCTCGTTTAGTGAACTGTAAGTACCAACTACTTTCACATATTGTACAATTTCTTTCCCAAAATATAAATGCTGATAAGATCGACACGCAATCTCACTATAATCTATAACCTTTTTCCACTTCTTCTGGTCCAGTGACACTTCCACGTAATACCGGAAAATTCTAAAATTCATTATAGTTTTGCCTTTTCCGTTATTAGTTGATTTACCTCAAATCTCCATCATATAAACACATACGAATGTGGTTAATAACAAATGGAAATCCAAATTTAATAACCAATCCAGTTTTGTCACCATTTGTTGTTACTGTCCAGTTATTCACGTTTCGGTTGCCATTTAATAAATGCTCGGTTCGTGCGCCGGTAATCACAGTGGCTTTATGTTCAGGAGTAGCAACATTAACTTCCAGTACTTAAAAAATCTGTTAAAAATATATTCTCGGATGATCAACTTCTTACATAGTTTTGCTCTGCATGTCGTCTCTTTGGGTTTTACATCGACAATTTCCGCAATAGCTTGGAGTAAATCTTCACAACCGACAAGCTTTGAAATCCAAACTTTAGACACAATTTCTACGACACTCAACCAAGATAACCGAACACATTTCACCACTAAATCAGCAGCGTGGACGTTAACTTGGCACCATTGGGCTACTCTTTCAAAAATTTCTATTTCGGGAGCAAAAAACGTGTCTCTTTCTAACAATTTAATCAAGGAGTTCTGTAATGTACACATCAGCATGGACAAAGGCACGTTATTCGGGTTTTACTTGGCTTAAATGCTTGAAACAGTCATTGTTCAGGATTTCTGAAGCTTGTTGATCCATGAAAACGTGGCAAGCGTTGCGAAGTTCGACCAAGTTGTACAAATTTGCGGTGTTCAAAACAGAACAAATATTATTGTGACTGAGTAGAGGCTTTATTTTCTGCCCTATGGCGACTTCTAGGTCGGTAAGGGTGCATTGGTGGGCTAAACCAATAAGATCCAGAGTAGGGTCCAAGTTTGAAGGGGTTATAGTTATAGTACCTAAAACAAAATGTTGAATTTCTGGAGAAAAATTGAACTGAACGTGCCTGTGTAGAGAAATTTTAGAACGTCCAGGAAGGAGTCGGTTGAAGTATTTAGGGAGATTGTAAGTTCTGTCTAAAATTAAAAATTTGGAATAAATAAACACGTGTTTTGATGCTTTGCTTCACCTGTTCTATTTCTTGTCCGTCTTCGTAAAGAAGGTTCTCGAAGTAGAAACTTCTTGCCGCGAGAATAACCTAAAGGATTTCTCGATTAGCAGTCGAATAGTTGACACTTTGATAGTATATATATTGTATAACGACCATCTCGAGATATCTTTGTAACAACTAGAATTGAAATTTGTTTACCTTATGTGCAAAGATCCTTTTATTGTCCACAATTAAAATGATATCGGAAAGTTTTTCGCTCAGATAAAGCGACGCAAAGTCATTCACCAACTTTGACGTTTCGTTGATGATAACAGAATTTCTTTCTGAATTACCCATCGCGAAAATAACACAGTCTTGTACAACTTCTACAAAGCCGTGACAAATGATAATGATCGAATTTACAGAACCTTTTATACCGTAAAGACGTAAACATCATTATCATTTTTTGCGATAAATTTGTTTTTGTGGTATTGAATATTTATGTCAAATCACCATACTTGCAAATGTTTAAATTAGAACAGGAGTCGGAATGAAAGAGATTCATTATTTTATTAAATCGAAGTACTTTTAAATGTTGAACGTTGAACTAGATCATGGAAATACAAACAGGTTTCTACCATGATAACGCGGTTAAAAAGTTTGGATTTTCGTCAAAGGGGCACACAAGAAGCGTGACGCTTCCACTCTTGCTCGTTTTTGGTTAACATTCAGGCATTTGGGAATCCACTTTGTAGATTCATTTTTCACCTCCAGATTGAAGTCGATTTTGCGAAATATTTAGTGACATGTAGACTGAACGGAAGAAATATTTTTTTATATTCTAGGAGCTTTGAAACGTCAAAAAAGAAAACTTAGCCAATCATCAAAGGGAACCCATTACAATACTTCCCTACTTTTTATATCCCGAAAAGAAAAATCATATCTCTCATTTTGTCTCTTCGAAAGATTTAATAACATAAGTGGTAATTAATGGAAATAATAAAGACAAAGTATGTTTGATTATTATTATTGATTTGTTTATTGACATTTGTTTATGTTATTTTACAAGTCAATATTTAAAAAGAGGCGTTGCGTCCGAAGTTCGTGTTCTTGAAATGAATATGAAAATATTATTTATACGTTTTCTTTTCGTCACTGGTGGGACATTCCAAGTGCATTAAATGCAAATGCTAAACAAATGAAAAAAATTAATGAAAATATCACATGTACAACAAATCACAAACGTTTCCAGCAGCTGGAGAAGCTCCAGTTCCAGTTATTCTGATGAAAACTACAGGTCTCTCAGAAAAATGTAAGACTTGCCAAGATTTATTTTCTTCGTTTCTGTGATCTGCGACGATTGTCCATTCAGTCTTATTTACCGAAGTTTCGACATAATACTTGTAAAACCTGTCATCTTGGTCCCACAATTTAAGCTTCATACTTGAGACTATGAAGGGTTGAGCTAGAATTTTTCAGGATAAAATCGGAACAAGATTTTTGTTTCATTTTTTTTAATTTCAAATACTTGATAATGCTATCTTTCAAGCTTATGGTTAATAACTTCAGTATTCAAGTTAAAACTCACCTAAATGTACGGTTATACTTCCAGCACCAATTGCGTGGTACGTGTAACTACCATAGTTGGTAGTAACCCCATCGAGTAATGCAGGTCCATTGACCCTATTAATTTCAGGTATAATATAACAAGTGATATGATTGTAACCGATGATATTTCGAGTGAAACCGAGCTGTAGCTCGTTGAATGTGCTGCTTCGGTTTCACGAGCCATATCTTCGATTTATTATTAATCATGTCACGAGTTATATTCGACATGAGAATATAATGAATTACTCAATTTTTTGATAATAGAATTGATTTGGTCGTTTGAGCTTCCCCCAACGTTGACAAGCCATAAAAGAAAAAAAATTTATGATATTCTAAAATTTTTCAAATTGGACAGTTTTTAAATTTAGGTAGCAACAGGTAATAAAATTATTACCTCTGTGATAGACATGTAGCTAAGGGCATGAATAAATTCTATTGGAAGAAATGGGGTCATGTGATACATGAATTATATTCTCAATGTTAAATAATTTTGTACTGTATATCAAAGTACTCAGTCTTAAAATAAACTAACCCTTCAACGACAGCTGCTTTCTTTTCAGCAGAAGCCACGTTTGAAGTGGGGTAGACGATACCATTTACAATTCTAGGAATGTTTTCCTTGCAATAGGCTTCGAAGAATATCAAGTGAAACAACTATAAGTGACAAAAACACAAGTGGATTTAAACGATAATAATTAAAATAAGTCATACCTCATTTAGTGAACTGTAGGTACCAACTACTTTCACATATTGTACAATTTCTCTTTCAAAATATAAATGCTGATAAGATCGACACGCAAGTTCACTATAATCGATAACTTTTTTCCACGTCTTTTGGTCGAGTGAAACTTCCACATAGTACCGGAAAGTTCTAAAATTCATTCTAGTTTAGTCTTTTCTATAAATAATTGATTTACCTTAAATCCCCATCATATAAGCACATACGAATGTAATTAATAACAAACGGAAATCCAAATTTAATAATCAAACCAGTTTTATCACCATTTGTTGTTTGTGTCCAGTTGCTCACGTTTCGATTGCCATTTAATAAATGCTCGGTTCTTAGTCCGGTAATCACAGTAGCTTTATGTTCAGGAGTAGCAACATTAACGTCCAGTACTTAAAAAAAAAACCTGTTAAAAATATATTCTCAGCTAATCAATTTCTTACATAGTTTTGCTCTACAAGTCGATTCTTTGGGTTTTACATCTACAATTTCCGAAATAGCTTGAAGCAAATCTTCACAAGCGACAAGCTTTGAAGGCCAAACTCTAGACACGATTTCTACAACACTCAACCAAGATAACCGCACACATTTCACAACTAAATCAGCAGCATGGACATTAACTTCACACCACTGGACTACGCTTTCAAAAATCTTAATTTCTGGAGCAAAAAACGTGTCTCTTTCTAACAATTTAATCAAGGAGTTCTGTAATGTACACATCAGCATGGACAAAGACACGTTATTCAGGTTTTACTTGACTTAGTTTCTTGAAACAATCATTGTTAAGGATTTCTGAAGCGTTTTGATCCATGAAGAGGTGACAAGCGTCCCGAAGTTCGGCTAAGTTGTATAAATTTGCTGTGTTCAAAACGGAACAAATGTTTTTGTGATTAAGTAGAGGCTTCAGTTTCTGCCCTATGGCGACTTCCAGGTCCGTTAGCGTGCATTGGTGGGCTAAACCAATCAGATCCAGAGTGGGGTCCAAGTTTGAAGGGGTTATAGTAATAGTACCTAAAACAAAATGGTAAATTTCTGGAAAAAAATTGAATTGAACTGATGCCTGTGTAAAGAAATTTTAGAACGTCCAGGAAAGAGTCGGCTGTAGTATTTAGGGAGATTGTAAGTTCTGTCTAAAATTAAAAATTTTGAATATATATGTACACACCTCTCTGACGCAGGGTTTTACCTGTTCTATTTCTTGTCCGTCTTCGTAAAGTAGATTCTCAAAGTAGGAACTTCTTGCTGCGAGAATAACCTAAGGGATTATTCGATTGATAGTCGTATGCTTTATTTGACACTTTGATTGCTTATCGAGGGTGTAGAATGAAAACCTGGTAGTGACGCAAATTCGAAACCGACTTACAATTATTTAGCCAATTTAAAACCAGTAATACCAAGGATAACAGGAATATTTTTTGTGATCTGAAGGGAAGGCCAAATTGATTGTGTTAAGATTAAATGATGGTCTTCCATTTTTTTCAAAAGTATATAATTCTTCCATATCTGGTACTGTCGATGTAATGGAATATACCTTTGAAAAAGAACAAAGAGAAAAAGTTGTATTTCGAATTTTCTTTAGTTATCGGGTTTTCGTTCTATACTATTTTGAGATATCTTTGGAAGAACCAGAACAGAAATTTTCTTACCTTATGTGCAAAGATCCTTTTACTATCCACAATTAAAGTGATGTCGGAAAGTTTTTCGCTCAGGTAAAGCGATGCAAAGTCATTTACCAACTTTGACGTTTCGTTGATGATAACAGATTTTCTGTCTGTATTACTCATGGCGAAAGTGATATGTATTGTACAACTTTTACAGAGCCGTGACAACTAATAAAAATCGAATTTGCAGCACCTTATATACCTGAAATACGTAAACATCGTTATCATTTTTTGCGATAAAGTTGTTTTTTGTGGTAGTGAATATGTCAAATCGCCGTTCTTTTGCTATATAGAGTACGCGAGAAATTCCTTTATTTTTTTGTTCTCTTCTGAAAATCTATACACGCAAGGCTAAAAATAAGTTGATAGATATAGAGACATAATTTTACCCATTCTACATGGCAGATTTTAATATAACGTCATCATATATTTGATAGGATTGAATGCATACAGTTTGGTTAACAATTTACCATCTACACGATATTTTTAAAATAAATGTAAAATTTCAAATGATATTTCTAAAAATTTCGGATATAATGTGTTTAATAAAATTGTCAACAGACGACGACGTGCAGGCCAGCAGGGAGAAATATAACAATTCGTCAAAGGCCAATTACTTCCCTAGTTTATATACCGGACAGTAAATGTATCTTTATTTCGTTTCTTCGAAAGATTTTATACAATAACTAGCTGTTACCCGCAGCTCCGCTTGCGTGGTTTTCGCAATTAGGACACATTATTTTTGACCCGCTGATTTATTTTTTGATTTCAATTTTATTACTTTTTAAGTTTGTGCAAGTCTTCATTAATAACAATATATAAAAGTATTTGTCCTTCGGCTAACTGATTCATTAACATAACTACTGGAGCTAGAAACACGAAATTTGGACAGAAGGTTCCTTTCGTTATGTAAGCATCAATTACCCCTAAGTGGGTGAAATAAGGACTGAAAGTTTGGAGTTAGGGTCCCATGAATTTTGTAATTTGGGTTATCTTTTGTCGATTTGATTAAAAGTCATGTTTTAAATTAAAGGATATTTCTTTAAAAAAGTTAAAATATTTGGATAGTTTTGTCGCTAATATTGTAGGCAGCCATGTAAAAACAGACATTTACCTGACCTATCTAAAACTTGGTTGTAAATTTGATATTGTTCTGTATTTAATAAACTTTCGTTGTGCCTATAAAAGTATGTCATAGCTAATCACTCTGAGATAGTCTCTGTTTTGTATGACTTCTTCACGTTTTACAGGCTGAGGCGAACCATAATACTTTAAACATTGTCTTCCTAAAGACAGCACCGTGTCTTTAAAGGAAATCACACACTTGTACATTTCATTTATAATATGAACACTCTCTTGACACTCTGACTGAACTTGACAAATCCAAAGCTTTGCATGATGAGTGATATGCGGGATAAGCGACACCATCAATAGTTTTTAAATCCGAGAATGATGTTGGCCCTCTCATTTCTTGAAGAAGAAGACCAAGGTAGAAACATTCGGCGTTATTAGGGTGAACGGTGTACACTCTGCCCAAAGTTTGATCGCTTTTGACTCCCGGCCAACCATCAACATTTTTTCCACGTTTTTGTCTCTCAAATTTGGTACTTTTCCACACATAGTATGAAGGGACTTCAACATAAAAAAGGATTTTTGCAAAATTATTCGTTTTGTAAAGCTCAAAAAATGCTAGAAAAGTAGTTTTCTGTGAATTATTTACCTTTTCAGTTGCATTATTAAAGTCGTTAGGATTAAAACAGACAGCAGGCCATTTTTCAAGTGCACTGTGAGATGAAAAACCGCTGGAAATTGTTCATGTATAGGAAAGGGTCAGGATTCTCCAGACAGTTTCAAAGCTGCTAATATATCGACCACTTTCATATAATTTGACCTCATCATTGTCATTTTCAAGACCAAATAATCCTGGTTGGAGTTTGAGAGTTACAATACTCTATGTTGATGTGAGCAGCAAAAGTTCAAGATAAAAGTGGATTGTACGGTACCACCCATCTGTTATATAGGGTTACAACATGGAATTCAATCGTGAATCCACCATCCGCGGAACCTCTTCGCCGGTATTGAGGGTAGCTGTCTTCGCCTGTTTGGGTTTCTTTCAGGAGAATTCGAGGATATTTTTTGCTACAGCTACATCCTTTCATTTCATTTCCACCCAAATTATATTCCGTTGGGGATGAATTTCAAAAAAGAATTAAAATCAGTCAGTCAAGACAAACAATTTTACATGATTACCAATTTTCAAGTAACAAATGTTAACAACATTTCAACTAAATATCGCCATACAAATATTTTTTCTCATATAAACTTTGTCACCTCATTTGATCTTCTTAGGGGTAGAATCTCAAAAACAGCTGAAATACGCGTTACATTGTTTGTGTTGAAAAGCATTAATATCAAGTTCCAAGCAAAAATTTACAATAGAAATATTTTCCCATACACAATTAGTTACCACTTTTTACCCCCTTAGGGGTTGAATCTCGGAAAATGCTGAAATACGTGTGTCATTATATGTGTTGAAGAGCATTAATACCAAGTTCCACGTGAAAATGTGCAACAGAAGTAGTTTTCCCGTACAAACTTATCCACCACTTTTTACCCCCTTAGGGGTTGAATTTCGGAAAATGGTGAAATACGTGTTTCGTTATTTGTGTTGAAAAGCATTAATACCAAGTTTCACGTAAATATTTACAACAGAAATAGTTAGGAAATAGTCTTCTTGTACAAACTTTACCACCGCTTTTCACCCTTTTAGGGGTGGAATTTCCCAAGTTCCTTTCTTAGTGGGTGTTTACATCACAAAAGGAAACTATTGTCCAAATTTCATGTTTCTAGCTGCAGTAGTTTAGGCTCTGCGTTGATGAATCAGTCAGTCAGGACAAACAATTTTATATGTATAGATAACTATTTAGCGGGAAAAATGAAGACAATATATTTTTATTAATGTTTATATTTATTTATTTATTATGTTTAAGAAGTCAATATTTAGAAATAGGCGTTGCGTCTGAAGTTCGTATTCTTGAAATGAATCTGAAAATATTATTTATACGTTTTCTTTTCGTCACTGGTGGGACATTCCAAGTATAGTAAATGCAAATGCTAAACAAATGAAAAAAATTAATGAAAATATCACATTTACAACAAACCACAGACGTTTCCAGCAACTGGAGAAGCTCCAGTTCCAGTTATTCTGATGAAAACTACAGGTCTTTCAGAGAAACGTAAGACTTGCCAAGATTTATTTTCTTCGTTTCTGTAATCTGCGACGATTGTCCATTCGGTTTTATTTACTGAAGTTTCAACATAATATTTGTAAAACCTGTCATCTTGGTCCCACAATTTAAGCTTCATACTTGAGACTAAGAAGGGTTGAGCTGGAATTTTTAAGAGGTAAAATTGGAGCGAGTGTTTTTTATTTAATTTTTTTAATTTCAAATACTAGGTGATGTTATCTTTCAAAATTATGGTTAATAATTTCAGTATTAACGTTAAAATTAAAACTCACCTAACTGTACGGTGATACTTCCAGCACCAATTGCGTGGTACGTGTAACTACCATAGTTGGTAGTAACTCCGTCGAGTAATGCAGGTCCATTCGTTCTATTAATTTTAACGTTAAATAATTTTGTATTGCTTATCAAAGTATTTAGTGTTAAAATGAACTAACCCTTCAACGACAGCTGCTTTCTTTTCCGCAGAAGCAACGTTTGAAGTGGGGTACACGATGCCATTTACTACTCTGGGTACGTTTTCCTTGTAATAGGCTTCGAAGAATATCAAGTGAAAGTACTATAAACGATGAAAAAGCACAAGTGGATCTAATTGATAATTAAAATAAGTCATACCTCATTTAGTGAACTGTAAGTACCAACTACTCTCACATATTGTACAATTTCTCTTTCAAAATATAAATGCTGATAAGATCGACACGCAAGTTCGCTATAATCGATAACTTTTTTCCACGTCTTTTGGTCGAGTGAAACTTCCACATAATACCGGAAAATTCTAAAATTCATTCTAGTTTTGTCCTTTCTATAAATAATTGATTTACCTTAAATCTCCATCATATAAACACATACGAATGTGATTAATAACAAACGGAAATCCAAATTTAATAGTCAATCCAGTTTTATCACCATTTGTTGTTTGTGTCCAGTTGTTCACGTTTCGATTGCCATTTAATAAATGGTCAATTCGTGCGCCGGTAATAACAGTAGCTTTATGTTCAGGAGTAGCAACATTAACGTCCAGTACTTAAAAAAAAACTGTTAAAAATATATTCTCAGCTGATAAATTTCTTACATAGTTTTGCTCTACAAGTCGATTCTTTGGGTTTTACATCTACAATTTCTGAAATAGCTTGAAGCAAATCTTCACAAGCGACAAGCTTTGAAGGCCAAACTCTAGACACGATTTCTACAACACTCAACCAAGATAACCGAACACATTTCACAACTAAATCAGCAGCATGGTCATTAACATCACACCACTGGGCTACGCTTTCAAAAATCTTAATTTCTGGAGCAAAAAACGTGTCTCTTTCTAACAATTTAATCAAGGAGTTCTGTAATGTACACATCAGCATGGAGAAAGACACGTTATTCAGGTTTTACTTGACTTAGTTTCTTGAAACAATCATTGTTGAGCATTTCTGAAGCATTTTGGTCCATGAAGAGGTGACAAGCGTCCCGAAGTTCGGCTAAGTTGTATAAATTTGCTGTGTTCAAAACGGAACAAATGTTTTTGTGATTAAGTAGAGGCTTCAGTTTCTGTCCTATGGCGACTTCCAGGTCTGTTAGCGTGCATTCGTGGGCTAAACCAATCAGATCCAGAGTCGGGTCCAAGTTTGAAGGGGTTATAGTAATAGTACCTAAAACAAAATGGTAAATTTCTGGAAAAAAATTGAATTGAACTGATGCCTGTGTAAAGAAATTTTAGAACGTCCAGGAAGGAGTCGGCTGAAGTATTTAGGGAGATTGTAAGTTCTGTCTAAAATTAAAAATTTCGAATAAATAGACACACCTCTCTGACGCGGTGCTTTACCTGTTCTATTTCTTGTCCATCTTCGTAAAGGAGGTTCTCAAAGTAGGAACTTCTTGCTGCGAGAATAACCTAAGAGATTTCTCGATTGGTAGTCGTATGGTTTATTTGACACTTTGATTGCTTATATCGAGGGTATAGAATGAAAACGTGATAAGTGATGAAAATTCGAAACCGTTTTACAATTATTTAACCAATGTTAAAAACAGCCAGGAATGTTTTTTGTGGTCTGAAGGGAAGGCCAAATTGATCGATGGTTCTCCATTTTTTCCAAAAGTATTTAATTCTTACATATCTGGTAATGTCGACGCGATTTATACAACGTATAATGTAATTAATGTTAAGCAAGTAATGGAACACACCCTTAAAAAAGAACAAAGAGAAAAAGTTGTATTTCGAATTTTCTTGTCTTATCAGGTTTTCGTTCTATACTCTCGACATAACAATTTTGAGATATCTTTGGAAGAACCAGAATAGAATTTTTCTTACCTTGTGTGCAAAGATCCTTTTACTATCCACAATTAAAGTGATATCAGACAGTTTTTCGCTCAGATAGAGTGATGCAAAGTCATTCACCAACTTTGACGTTTCGTTGATGATAACAGATTTTCTGTCTGTATTACTCATGACGAAAGTAATATGTATTGTACAACTTTTACAAAGCCGTGACAACTGATAAAAATCGAAAATACAGCACCTTATATACCTGAAATACGTAAACATCGTTATCACTTTTTGCGATAAAGATATTTTTTTGTGGTGGTGAATATGTCAAATCGCCGTATTTTGCTAAATAGAATATGCGAGAAATTCCTTTGAAAGAGATTCGATGCAATATAGATCTAAATATTTATAAAATCTTGATGTTAAAAAATTATATACATCGAATGACAGGATGAATATAACGGATAAGCTAGAAACTTAAATTGAGTAAGTGAGATTTTCTTTAAAATTTTGGTATGACGCCATCACCTCTCTAGTAAGGATCGATATATCACTTTGTGTAGATGCAGTATAAAGTTAATACACAATAGTACTGGGTGCTAAAAATTTTAGGAAAGTGAAGTACAATAAACTACTTATATTTAATGTTTTTAGCTATGTTGTACAACCAGTTATTAAAAATAAGAGTGTATGATAAAAAACATATGTATATCTAAAGAACATTTTAAATGAGACTTTATCTCAAAATCTGTTCTGATGTCCCCAATTTATGCAAAATTATGTGTAGATAAACTCAGATAAACGGTTTGCTTTGTTTTGAGTTTTTATTGCTTAGTAATAAACTGTATATTTTTTTATTTTCTATTGAAAATCTATATGCGCAAGTCTAAAAACAAGTTGATAAATACGGAAAATTTTAATTTAAACATTTAACATGGTAGAATTCATAACGTCATGTATTTGAATACACACAGTACGTAATATTCTTAAAATTTATATAAAATTTCAATTGATCTGTCTAACAGTTTCCGATATAATGTATTAATAGATAAATTTGAATTTAGGATCGTTTTGAAATGTTGTAGCATTATGTAAGGCAAAACTACAATTGGCTTGTCAAAAATGCACTTTTGTGTTTTTAACATAATGTAATAATGTGATGCATATTTTGGAAAAAGGCACTCCATTTTTCCCATTCTCCCCTACTAAGCAAAATTATGTAGCTGATTATGATTTGAGTGAGATTAAAACTTCCTTTAGTTTGTTTTCGTAAGGTATATCAAACTTGTGGTAAATGCTATCTACAAACAACATATTTTTAAAATGTGTTTTTCATAAAATGAGGTTTTTCTTCAAATACATGTTTTCACTAATTCACAAAGAGAAACGTTAGCAGAAAAATTTTAAAAACGATTTTGTTAAAAACGATGTCTTGTAATCGTTTTATAATCATCGTATGTGTGGCACGTGTAAGGATTTATGGTCATTTATATTATTATAGTGAGAACGTTATTTTTCAAAGAAATTAAATCGAAAAGCTAAAAGCCCATAATCCTTGAAGTCATAAATTATGATCGAAGCTTGACGGTAGACGAATGATAAGCAGAGGCGAATTTCTGTTATTCTGCACTGAATTTAACTGAGGTATCTCGAAGGATCTCGTATACAGTAATAGAATATTAAATTGATCTGTGCGTTTGTAAGAGGTAGGTACGTAGCTGACTTGCAATTTCATGAAACTATTTTATCTTAGTATTTAGTCGGCGAGACATCATGAAAATAGCTATTCATCAAATGGAACATATAACAATATTTGTGTTTAGGATAGTAAAAATACGTGGTATTTTGTTTCTTAGAAAGATTTATTGCCATCACCAATAATAATTAACGAGGATAATGAACGCAGTATGTATATTGTTATTGTATGTAAATATTTATATATGTTATTTAAGGAGTCAACCTTGCAAAATAGTCGTTGCATTCAAGTTAATCTTTTTGATATAACTTGAAAACATTATTCACGCGTCTCTTTTTCATCATCTGTGGGACATTCGAAGTGTAGTAAAGCGAAATTCTAAACAAATACAGCTTATTAATAAAAATATCACACTAACAACAAACTACAAACCCTTCCAGCTTCTGAAGAACCTCCAGTTCCAGTTATTCTAATGAAAGATACGGGTCTCTCAGGGAAACATAAAACTTGCCAAGATTTATTTTCTTCGTTCCTGTGATCTGCGACGATTGTCCATTCGGTCTTATTTATTGAAGTTTCGACATAATATTTGTAAAATCTATCATCTTGGTCCCACAATTTAAGCTTCATGCTAGAAAGCATGAAGGGTTGAGCTGAAATTTTGTATTGGTAAAATCGGAACAAATTTCCCTTTATTTGTTTTTGTTTCATTTCAAAGTGATGATTAATAATTTCAGATAATAATTTAAGATACAACTCACCTAATTGTACAACTATACTTCCAGTACCAATTACGTGGTACGTGAAACTACCATAGTCACTTGTAACCCCGTCAAGTAATGCAGCTCCATTGGTGCTGTAAATATTAGTGTTAAATAATTTTGTATTCCGTCTGAAAGTCTACTAACCCTTCAACAACTACTGCTTTTTTTTCCACGGTGGCCACGTTTGAGGTAGGAAAGACAATACCATTGACGATTCTTGGTATGTTTTCCATGTAATACGCTTCGAAGAATATTAAATGAAAGAACTACAAGCGAAGAAGTAGCACAGGTGGATGTAATCAATAATTAAATAAATTAATTAATACCTTGTTTACTGAATTGAAAGTACCAATTACTCTCACATACTGTACAACTTTGTTTTCAAAATATAAATCCTGATATGACCGACAACCAAGCTCACTGTAATCTATAACTTTTTTCCATTTCTTCTGATCGACTGAAACTTCCACATAATACCGGTAAGTTCTGAAATTTACTCCAGTTTTGTTTTCTGCATAAATAATTGATTTACCTTAAATCTTTATCATATAAACCCATACGAATGTGATTAATAAGAAATGGAAACCCAAATTTAATAGTCAATCCTGTTTTATCACCAATCGTTGTCTCTGTCCAGTTGTCCACATTTCGGTTGCCATTTAATAAATGTTCGGTTCTTCGGCCGGTAATCACAGTTGCTTTATGTTCAGGAGTAGCAACATTAACGCCCGGTACTTAAACAAAAAACGTTAAGAAAATATTTTCAGCTGATAAATTCCTTACATGATTTTCCCCTGCAATTCGTCTCATTCGGTTTTACATCGATAATTTCCGCAATAGCTTGCAACAAATCTTCACAACGGACAAGCTTTGAAGGCCAAACAATTGACACAATTTCGACAACACTCAGCCAAGATAATCGAACACATTTCACCACTAAATCAGCATCGTGGACGTTAACTTGACACCACTGAGCTACGCTTTCAAAAATCTCGATTTCGGGAGCAAAAAACGAATCTCTTTCTAACAATTTAATCAAGGATTTCTGCAACAGAAATGTCAAAAAGCACAAAGATAAGTTATTCGGTTTTTACTTGGCTTAATTCGTTGAAAGCATCATGCTTGAGGATTTCTGAAGCTTTTGGGTCTATGAAGGCATGGCAAGTGTCGCGAAGTTCGATTAAGTCGTAGAGATTTGCAAGGTTCAAAATTGCGATAATGTTTTTGTCATTGAGAAAAAGCTTCAATTTCTCCCCTATGATGGTTTCCAGGTTCGTAAGGCCGCACTGATGGGCTAAATCAAGAAGATCCAAAGCAGTGTCCAAGTTTGAAAGGTTTATAGTAATAACACCTAAAACACAATGTCGAATTTCTGGAGAAAAATTGAATTGAACGTACCAGTGTAGATAAATTTGATAATTTCCCGGAAGTAATCGGCTGAAGTATTTAGGCAAATTATGACTTCTTTCTGAAATTAAAAATTTGGAAAAAATATTATGCATCTTAACGGGTTAGTTTACCTGTTCTGTTTCTTTGCCATTCTTGTAGAGGAGTTTTTCGAAGTAGGGACTTCTTGCAGCGAGAATAACCTAAATTATTTCTCGATTAACAATGATAATGGATTAGGGCATTTTGGTGATGTATACAGACGGGACGATTTCGAAATATGTGTAATAAAAGTGCAAGCTTTGGAGCCCGCTGATTTTCCACATCGTATAATTCATTGTGAATGGTTGTTAAATACAACCATGTCGTGAAAGCCCTAACTTTTTTAAATTGTATGCTGTTTACGGTTGAAACAGAATTCACTCGCAATGCTAGTTTCAAGAAAAAAGCAAGTAGATATGAAAATGCCTTTAGATGAACATGTTTGCATGTGGTACCTGCACCACCACATTTTGCTAGGCCAGTAACTGCATGTACATGTAAAAAAAAAATTGTGTTCAGATTCCAACTAGTTGTCTAGTATTTGTGAAACAAAATCTACTGTAAATTCACTGAAAACTAAACCGATAACATCACCTTAAGTAAGCATTTTCCTAACCAGTGGGTCTGTAAAAACGGCTCAGCAGCTGGGCCTCCGCATTCACCCGATCTCAATCCGTGTTATTTTTGTCTGTGGGGTTGGATGAAACAATTTATGGAAATCAAGTTTTTTTACGTATCCGTGCAAACATGTTGCGAGGTACTGAAGCCTGTATTGCTAGTTAAGGACAACATTTTCAACATTTATTGTAAAAAGATAGTAGCATTCTAAGTTGTTGTTATTTTTATTATAATAAAAAATGTGGAACCGTTGTGGCAAGGACCAAACATCCGTCAGAATAAAAAGTTAATCACCATGAAGCATTACCAAAAATCGATCCTTCTCAGGACCACCATTTGTTTCTACAACGAATAATAACCAGCAAATAGTCGGTTTTACTTTTAATTGAAACTGAAAGTGTTTTTAATCGAATTTTCATCCACTTATAGCTTAAAATGTGGATCAGTGACATCGCATCGAGGGTGGTGCATGGAGGTTTTGCCCCATTTGACTTTTAATTTGTTTTTTATATATCCAAAATCGCTACGGTATGAGATACCGTGGTTATAGTTAGTGCATATATTTCGAAATCATTCTGTTTAAGCAAATTGAGAAATATCTATTTGACACCAACCAAAATAAAAATTCTCTTACCTTGTGGGCCAAAATTCTTTCTTTGTTGATAATTAAAACAATATCAGAAAAATGTTTGGTACGATATAGCAACGCAATATCTTTCACCAACTCTGACTTTTCGTCAACAATAAAATATTCATTTTCTGTATTATCCATCGCGAAAACAACACAGTTCTACACAACTTTTACAAAGGTGGACAACTGACAAGAATCGGATTTTCCACACCTTTTATACCTAAAATATCGTTATTATCTTCCCCGTCATTTTTGTTACTGTATGGATTATAACAGAAATTTTTATGAAAGATATCCGATAAGTTGATAAATCGATCTTTTAAATCTTTTAAATATACGTATAAGTTCATCTTCTACGAACTATAAAACCCGGCTATAATATTTCCTTTCCACCGAAATAATAAATAAGCAAATTATAATGTAGATTAACACAGCTAATTTAAAATATTAAAACTCGTATTTCGGCACACTATATGTTCAACAACGAATAAAATTCAAAAAGATATGTATAACTTTTGAAATTAGCATTACATAATTCATTAGGCAAAGGTCAATTACAGTCGTCTCGTCAGAAACATAATGCAAAATATTTATATTATATTTATGCGAGCGAGTAAATGTTATCTTTACTGTACTATCTCAAATTATTAATACTTTGAAAATCTGCTCATATTATGAAGAAATAGTTTTTTTCCTGATCCCTTAAATGATGGTTTTCAATCATATTTATACTTCCCGAGCGTCTGTCCGTCTGTCCGTCTGTCTGCCGTCCCGGATTTTTATTAAACAGATAATCTCCCAAAGTACTGAACCGATTGATGTCAAATTTTGTATTTATATTAGGAATATCATGTAGATGGTAAAACGCTAACCAAAATGTGTCTAATCAACCCCACCAATAGTGTGATGATATCACTTCAAAATTGTGCATTCATTTACTTGGAAATAAATTCATCTTCTACGAACTGTAAAACCCGGCTATAATATTTCCTTTCCGCTGGGGTTTTATAGGTTTTAAATTGTATGAAATAACATAGTCCTACATATGTAGTTTATGATTCCGTATTGAGTTTTTACCGAAACATCCAGATTTTTGGAAAAAAAATCAAAATTATGAAACAACATTTTGCAATTTAATTTTGAATCTGCAAAACCGAATGCTTTGAAATCTTGTGTAGATGTTTTAAAGTTACGATAGCATGATAAATTTTTAATCAAAATATATTTTCTTATTCCCTCCAAAAAATTGATGACGTCAACTCAAAATTTTGCCGAATAAATTCTGTCTAAAATGTGCAAAATATGATGAGTTTGTACTTGTAATTCATCATTGCATTCATATTTTTTAAGTTTGCTTATACGCTCGTCTTTATAACAATACTATAATAATCGTAAGGTAAGAATTATAACAATAACATTTAGAATATTTTATTCAATTGAGGCTTATGAATAATTTTATTTATTTGTTTTGAGGCGATAAACTCATTCAAATCAAACAAATGCCTACTTGACATTCTTCCGATGTATATACATCAACATTTTAAATACTACGCATATTGCTCAGATACCTCTATTCCCGTTAATAATGTGCTCTAAATATATTTTACAATGTCCGTATTTGTGCAGAGACGGTTTAAACGGATATGCTTGTGATGCTGGACCATCAGACCCCCGAAGTTAAGGGACCCCTTCTGGCCTAAATGTAACGGAAAATAAAATTTTTGTTTTTCATTTGGTTATTACAAAAATACGAGTTCGTCTTCGACTGACCGTTTGTTGACACATATGATTTCGAGATTGTGCAAAATGCAAAAGTGATCACTTCCGGGTGTTCCAGTAATTTATGACTTGCAGCCAGGCAGCCACCTGCACAAAGAGCTGCCGCCTGAGTTTTGTTTGCAGTGTGGTTTCTCATTGTTATTTTGCTTTTTTATCGCTCAATGAAGTAATACCGCACACTTTTGAAATTATTGCATTGGCATTCATATTTTTTCGGTTTGCTTATACAAAATGTGTGGTGCAAAATAAAATATAGGTACTATCTCAAATTGTGCAAAATATGATGAGTGTGATTGTGATTTTTCATTGCATTAACATTTTTGCATTTGTATGAATAGATTATTTTATTGATTAAATCAAGAAGGGCTCACTTCATTTTTCCCAAAATTTTGGGGGCTGGGGGGGGGGGAGAATATAATACGTTATTATTCGTACTACTGGACCAATCTAAGTTGAAATACGTGTTCTTGCAAAAATGATCAAAAAAACACATCACAAAATTTTGTAAAGTAAAAACTTATTTGAAACATACGCATAGAATGCTTCTTTACATTTACTTTAGCATTGCATATTTACATATGTTTATTTCCACTTATAGGGATTGTCATAGAAAATATAAAATCCTCAAAATCAAATTTTATAATTTTTCGAAAATGCTGGATATGTCTCGTTGTACTTCAGGAGCGAGGGAAGGAAACAACTTTCGACCAATATTTTTAAAGTATTTCAATATATTAACGCAGACAACAAGTTGTTTTATAATAAAATTTACTAACGTGAAAATTTAAATAACAGTAGAGGATAATACTTAGTTGAGCAAAGTGTATCCCTTTAATAGTTTAGCTAAAAGATAAAGGGGAATGGAATATAAATAATAAAATGTAAAAACATTCAGACAATTTTCACGTTCTGTATTATCCCGAGTTCTTGCCAAAAGTGCACTCAATCGCATTAAGTGAAAATATTAAACAAAGAAAAATAAACCATGTTATTCAAGCGGAGGATTCTTATTGTGTCATGTCATAAAATGTTGGGAATGTTCTCAGAAACAATAATGAAACAACGTGGAAAGAAGGAAACACATACAAGCAAAAAATTCACCGAGGACAAGACTTCATTTGTTTGAATAAATATTAATTTGTAATGTTAAATACAATGTTAAAGAACAGTCAGAAATGAAGCTCAAGAAACAAAAAATATTTAAAAATTTATAACGTTTTCCTAATCTTCCTAATCGAATGTCAGGAATTTCGAGCTCCTTTTCCGTCTTAAATAAGGTATGGCAAGTATGGCTCGAATTTAATTAGCCCCTGAAAAATTTATTGTATAACAGAAATGTGCCTTTTGGAAATGTCGGGCAGTTAAGACGCAAATTTTACGTAAACTCTTGTAACAATCACAGTTTAGGAAATGGATAAAAACTGACAAGCCACTCCTTCAAGTCTTAACATTTTTTCAGCAACAAAGCAAACTTTAAGAAAACGCAGACAACTTAATTTTTCTCAAAGTTCATTTTTCCCATCTCATTATCCCCCATCGTCCTTCGCCCCGCCCCCAAACCGAAAACTAGAGTCTCTATTTCGAGCCCGGAATTCTAACGAACTCGGAAATTGTCTGGATAACGTAAACGTCTGTTTTCTTAATCAACTCGTAATGAGGCGTTCAGATGGCCGCACCGCGAAAAAAACCGACACGACACATCTGTACAGGAGTCGACGAACGCCACTGCCTAACCCTCCTCCATTTTCCCATCCCCGCATTTTTCGGCGCGCTAAGTGCCACAAAAAGTCGAGTGTCTGTGTGAGATTTTTATGGGCTTGTTAAATGACAGATCGCCGCGATTTGTATATTTAAAGGCGTTTTCGACAGGCGTTTTAGCAGAACGACATGCTTATGCCGCTCGGTGGCTTAATGGGACCTATATTTATGTTTGGACGAAGTGAAACACAAAAGCAACAATGTATTTATTTATGTAATTTGAACGCATTCGGTTGCAGAGTACAAGTCGAGGTCTCCGACGTTTTCCGAGGACTCGGGCAGACACTCCAGCAGCGCGGTCGACCCCCAACCGGGGCTGTTTCTGACCATGGTGCAGCTAAGAAGGAGGGTGGGGGAGTCGCTGGGAATTGTTCTCAATACAGGTAACAAAAGCTTCCACTCATCTTAATTATAACATTACTAATAACTAAAAAGTTTCGTACTTTGGTTAATTGTAAGCTAATTTCCTGTTTCGGTATAATACTAATTTATATAGCCACTTTGAGAAAAAGATCTGAACTACTAGATTACTTATAAGCTTTCGCCGTACTATTACCGCTTTTCCACAAAAATAGCAACCTTCTAAAATACAAGAATTTTTAATTTTCTGCCCCACGGGGTCCAATTAGGGCCCCCTTTATTTTCCGCGCCCGAAAATAGCTGCGACTTAATAAAGACACTCGACCAACTTCCGAAAAGTTAATGTGTATTCAACCGGATACACAGCAGGATGACGCTACCATCTTGAAGTTATAAATAGGCGTCGGTCGGCGTCCCCGTACCTGTCCGGCGTCGCGCCGCCACGTGAAAATGCGCCCGTTCTGAGCGATGCCGATGGGGTGATTTACAACCGAACGATGTAATCCCGGCGATGCCGACACGAAGGGACCGGTCGGTCCTTTATCTGCCTTTTTATGCGAGCGAAGCGAGCAATCTTGGCTTTAAGATAAAAAATTCATCAAAGGGAACATGACGAGAATAGACTCCGGAATCGCGTAATGTGATACAGTTGTTCCGTTTTAGGAGAGAAAAGATTGATGAGATGCGCCCGAAGTGCTGCCGTCGATCTCTGGGGTGCTGGCTTTTCGGCAAACTTGCAGTTAAGCACAAAATATTGAGAACGATTTACGTTAGAATGTCGATAAAAAATATTTGTCACTAATTTATGCCTACATAAGACACGTATTTTTCAGATGGTAAGCAGTTTCATAGATGATAGCAAAAAATGATCATCTGTGTCTGTGACCATAATAAAAACAGGACCACAGGTAGCGAATTCTGGATAATGAAAAAGTTATCACTGCTAACTCAAATTTGTTGACTTATCCCTACAAAATTTTAAATTGTAAAAGTTTGCTGCGGAAGTTGCGCTTGAAATGTATGTTGTGAAAAACTTTTAACTTCCATTTTTATTTTCCGAGCGTAAGCGAAAGAGATAAGTATATATTGTAATCGAGTCTATTGGGCGATGGGCTACTTTCGTGTTTTCTCGACGTTTCATGACCCCAAAAGTACGAAAAAATAGGTCTGCCGTTTCCGTTTGTCTGCCATCTGTCTGTCTGTGTCAATTTTTATTAGACAGATAATCTCCGGAACTATCGGACCGATTGCTGACAAATTTTGTATGTATCTTATGAATATCGTGTGAACGCTTAAACGC